CTCCTGGTCGAGCACAAGGGCAAGAGCAATCCTACGCTCCATTGGCCGTCAAATTGATGGACGCACATTTGGCTTCCTTCCTGGCCGTGAAGCACAAGAAATCTGGGTGCTGTTGCAGGCACTCATCGAGGTCCAGGCCACAGTGCCTACACCCCTGGTCGGCCATGTGGCAGACATTCAAGGAGCCTTCAACAACCTGCCAAGACGCCACATCCACCACCTCCTCCTGCACTTGGGCCTTCCGCGACCATTCCTCTCGGCCTGGCATCGCTTCCTGGACAACTTTGCCCGAAGGTTCAAACTTCGCCACTCCATCGGGGAGCCACTTCATTCGACGAGAGGCTACCCGGAAGGATGCTCACTCAGCTGTGTCGCCATGGCAGCCACATGCTGGGCATTGGATGTCTACCAACGACAATATGCTCCCCAAATTTGCCACCTCTCCTACGTCGACAACCTGGAGCAGCTCTCCTATGACGTCTGGCCATTACTCCAGGGGAATCGCAACCCAGCAATGCTTCCTGGAACTCTTCCAGCTCACTACGGATGACACAAAGTCATACACCTGGGCTGTACACAACCAACACCGGCAGCAACTCCACGCCCTGGGACACCACACCCAGCTCTACCACAAAGACCTTGGAGGTCTTATGCACTACGATGCAAAGCGACGCACACAACACCTCCACCACCAGATTCAGCTTCTCCAACCCCAATGGGACCTGCTTCGACGTCTCTCTTGTCCAGCTGAGCTCAAACAACGGATCATCGTCCAGGCCTTCTAGCCAAAGCTTTTCCACTCAGCCGTTATCTGCGACTTTCCTCCGCAGCTCATTCACCAGCTGCGAACCACAGTTGGGCTGGCAACAAGCTGGGGCGAATTCCCTGCTCAGTCTTGGGGTTCTTGTCCGAAACCCCCTTCTCGACCCTGGCCTCTACCAACTTTGGACCTCCATCCGGAACTTCAAGCGCATACTACGCAAACAGCCTGGACTCCTTGACCTTTGGCACCTTCACATGCAGAACTTCCAGGGCAAACTCCGTGCCGGACCCTTCTCCACCCTGGTGAGGCTCCTCAACCAGATTGGATGGCGGGTAGAGCAGGTCCCCATGCTTCAAGATCATGAAGGCCTCCTACACGATCTCTGCACTACGCCAGAAGCACTCCTCTTCAGGCGCCTCACTGCTGGTTGGAGACATTGGGTTTCTCTCCAGCTTGCACACCGGCAAGATTATGCAGGCCTCCACGGCATCAACTGGCAGATCATAAGGCGAAAACCGGTCACCTTTCGGCACTCGAGTTAGCCCGGGCTCACTCACAACAACGAGGTGCCTTCTTCACTGGAGAGTACAAGAGGAAATTTGACAATTTCCATGATGGAACCTGCCCGGCATGTTCTGCCCCGGACTCCATCTTGCACCGAAGCCTGCACTGTCCCCAGGCAGAGACAATCCGACACCAACACCCAGCTGCTGTTGCCCTATGGGATCATGCTCCAGTATGCCTCCGGGAACGACTACTTGTACCCTGCAACCCACACGCTGCACTTTTTCACTGACTCGGACCAGACCATCCACTTGTTTACGGACGGCTCCTGTGCTACGCCAAAGAATCCGTCAACAGCCCTCTCCAGCTGGGCAGTGGTCTCAGCTACCCATGGCCAAGTTCTTGCGCAAGGACTACTGCCAGGCATTCGTCAAGGCAGCGCCCGGGCGGAGCTGTACGCCATCCTGCAGGGTATCAAATGGCTCCAGGCCGGCCAACACCGTGGACATATATGGTCTGACTCGGCGACCTCGGTTCAGGGAATCTGGCGGATCCAGCAATCCCTCCACCTCGCGATCCCACACTCGGACTATACCTCTGGCACCAACATCGACCTCTGGAGTCAGATTGCGGACACACTTCAACTTGCCACCAATGCCTCCATCCAGATCCACCACATTCCAGGACACACCGACCCCACCAGCTGCGACAACCCGGTTGATGAGTGGCTCGCGCTTTGGAACGGACAAGCCGACTATGCCGCAAGCCTTGCTCGAACCCAACTTCCACCTGGGTTTGAGAGAAGCTGGACAAACTTCATTAGGGAAGAAAAGAGGTCGGCTGACCAATTTGGCACCATGCTTCGGTTCCAACTTGACCTTGCGGAAGGCTTTTCGCACTTCCACAAGCATGCCCGCAACACTCACCGTGCAGATGATGGTGACCTGGAAGAGCCCCTCGAGATCCCCAGGTTGCCCTCGCCCCTCTGCTGGACCTCTCGGCTACCTTCTGAGTGGCGCGAAATAGTTAGGAGCTCATCCCAATTCGTTTTGGAACAAATTTTGTTTGCGGCCTTCTCGAGTTTTTCCTGAGAGACCAACAAGATGCTGACACTAGCCACTGCGTCTCCTGGCTTGAGATTGCCGTTTTTGCACGCAATTGCGACTGCCTCCGGCACCGGAGAAAGCTGGAGAGACCTTTGTGATGTTCCACCGGGTGCTGATGTCCACGCCTCTTTGGCTAGTGACATCCGCCTTGTTCGTGCTGTTCTTCGTGGTGTTTCCGGTCTTTTTGATTTGGACATCGGTGAAACCCGGGGACTCAACCTCTCGGCACTTAGGGTAGGACCACCCCAGGCCGGTTGCTGCATGCCTTTTTCCCAGGACTCCTTTGGGGCAATCAACGCCAGGATCCTGGACTTTACTTCGCCTTGGCCGATTAGGTCTTCGAATGACCTCTCTCGGCCACTGCGCTGAGCTGACCGGACTCGCGCACCGCTCTGCTGCCGCCGAGCGTGCGCCGCAATGAAGGGTGAATGAATGTATGAAGGCGTTGGTTTTGTTTTCAATGATGGGTGGGCGCTTCCCAAGTTGCATGGTCACAGCTGCAGACATTCACATCGGCAATGACGGAATTGAATATGTTTGAGGCTGCATTCAAAACACGCTGTCCGGGTCAGTTTTGGTGACTAATTGTGTGGTTCATTTGTCGCCTCAGCGGCAGAAAGACATCACAAAGATACTAGACCAGGATTAGACAGGTGGCCGTGCACGAGCCATGACCATCCTGAGCAGCGTGTGAGGATGTGGCAGCCTCATTCGGGTCCCCTGACTGGCATGGGGATTTCTGGCACCGAACATTGCCAGGAGTCTGGAGACAGATCCCGATGGCCGAATTGTGACTTCGTCATTTCTTCAGGCAGGGAGCAACTATCGGTTTAGTCATGCAGTGTACGTTGCTTGAATGAGATGGGTAAGAGTGAGCGCAATGCCTTTCACCGTGGGGGGATGCCCGCCCGCATGTCAGGCTGCTGCCAATGGCTTCGTCGACGCTCTCCGCAAAGGGCCGGTATGGTAGACTTTTGCTTGAACTCGATGTTTCTGAGCAGTGAGCAGAGGTTGGAAAGCCGTGATCGGAGGAGGCTCATGGTGGCCAGTGACCAGCAGCAGCCACTTGTCATGGACGCTGGGTGCATTTGGATTGATGCGGGGCGAGCAGCGTACCGGAATTCAGCCCAGGAGAAGCGCAGCTCACTTGGCCGCGCTGCAGCCCTAGACGCGCCCCATTCGAGCCTTCGAAGCCAGTGCTGGAAAGGCGAAGCGGGCATGCAGAGGCGCTGGCTAGCTTTGGCGTGGCAGGTCAAAGAGCAGCCGCAAACAACCCACCAGGGCGCATGTGATAGCAGTTTCAGCTGATGTTTGTTTTTTTTGGCGGTACGTGTTTGTTTCTTTCTTTGATTTGTTTGTTTGCTTGATTTAATCTGTTTTGTTTGGTTGCGTTGATTTGCTTGGTTTTGTTTTGTTCTGTTTCATCTGTTTGTTTGTCTGTCTGCCTGCTTGTCTGCCAGCCTGGCTGGCTGGCTGGCTGTCTCTGTCTTTGTCTTTGTCTCTGTCTCTGTCTCTGTCTCTGTCTGTGTCTCTTTCTCTGGCCCAGTCTGTGTCTGTGTGTGCGCATGTTGCTTTGTTTGGAGCACCTGGGTTGCACCTGGCACTGGGATGTTTCGATGCGACCAATTGTAGCCATAAGCCCGGAGGCGTTGCGGTTACTGCACAACCACGGCTGTGAGATGGAGGCTGGACTGGTTGACACAGGAATTTTTGGAGACCCAGACTTGTTCTACACGCTGTCTTCGCAAGTAATTGTCAGCAGAAAGCGCAGGCGATGGATCGCTTTGGCCGAACAGCATTGCATTTGGCTTGTGAGCATGGGAAGGCGGTGGAGTTGTTGCAAAGCACGTGCTATTTTTTAGGTATTCAGCGTATGCACGTGAAACATTCTGAAGCTTGCGCAGGCAGATGTGGTCAAAGTCTTGTTGGATTGTGGGGCACGGCCTGGCCTCGAGGCTGTCATGTTCAATGGTATTCATGTGCTCGACTGCCCTTTGCACGTGACTTGAGCAAAGGACAAGACGGGGCGCAATGCCTTGCATTTGGCTGCATGCTGCGAGGCCCCTGAGTTATTCTTTGCAATATGAGCTGCCTGCTGCATGCTCGCCACGCTGAATTCCATCATGTGCCCTTGCTTCACAGAGGACCCGTCATTGTGCGAAACGCTTGCCAGTCCGGAGCTTAGCCAGACGGGTTGCTGGACAATGAATACTGCACCAGGTCAGTTCCCTCAGCTGGTTTTCTGCGCAGATTCCAATGGAAGGCCACTCACTGGAAGTTTGCTGGCGCGGCAAGTGCTTCCCGAGTCCAGGACGCCGCTATTTTATGCGGCATTGAATGCGCATCCTCAAGCGCAGGCCGAGGTGCCGTCCGAGCTGACAACTCGTAAGATGTATTGCAATTGAAGCCGATTGAAGCTGCGTGGCACATGCAGGTGACCAAGATGTGCCGACCTTTGTGCCGCATGCGTTGGCACAGCTATTTCTCTTGGCGCATGACATCACACTGTGCCGCGGGGAGCGTCAGCGACAAAAGCAGAGAGAAGTGAGGCCCAGAGACACATACGCACACTGTGCACACATCGAATGTAGCTGAGCGAAGCGTGGAACAAAAGCCACTCGCCCGTTATGGATGGCCACTTCCCTTCGGCGCCACGAGTGAAGCGGCCTCACCTCCTGGCAGCAGGGGTTGGAGCTGTGATCTGCGGCGACTTCGTGGCATGGCAGCCGGCCAACGGGCAAGGCTCGAGCGCCATCGAATCGCTGAACCGACGGGGTCTGACAAGAGCGTTCTAGTGCCTGGCACCTGGCAGGTTTTGGCTGTGCCCTCGTGTCGTTCTTCGTGGCGGCAATGTTTTACTTGGTCTTGCTGTGCACCCTTGCTGAGGCTGGCTGGGTATCAGCTTCTAAAAGTGAATGGCAGAAAGATCTGACCTGGCAGAAAAACATGTGCTTGTAGCTGCAAGTGAAGCTTGAGGAGCGTCTTTGGCAGGACTCAATCAGTGTGACGTCATGATATTCGGATGCTGTTGCCCCAACTGCAGGTGGTGAGTCGCATGGGGTATGCTGAAGGTCCTAGCCAAGTTGCTGCCTGCATCGGTCCGAGGACAAGGGCTAGGGTACGAAGGCAAACATCATGACCATGTGAGTCTGCGCAAAGTTTTCACCAAGACTTGGAGACTCACACATTTGTGCATGTCCTTTACGGTAACCGCACAGTTTGACACCAGCTCTTGTCTCAGAAAAAGAAAGCATTTGCCCTGCGAGGACATCATTCATAGCTGGCTTTGCAGAGGTGTTGAAATGCGTCTTTGTGATGGCAGATGTTGCCACAGCCATAGGTGCGTTTATGCAGGACTCCCGCATGTCTTACTCAAATTGATATAGCTGCACTCAATTGATATACTTCATGCAGTGGCACTCCTTGTGGCAGGAAATCTTTCTGACCCCGTCACAGTTACAGCCAATATGGTGGGTCGCGTTCTCGGTAGTCACATTGCTACTCAATACCATGTTCTTCGACGTGTCAATGAAAGCTCTTGTGGTTTTGACCGGCGCTGCTTGCTCCATACTTCTGGCTTTGTTTTTCCTATCGAAGCTAAGCTGCAAACAGCGCTGCTTTAATGCCATCAGGTCTTGCAAGTGTTGCTTTCTTTTTTTGCGGGAATATTTTCTCAGAGGAGGAGACTGGTGGCAAGTGCGCTGTGGAAACTGAGGCTCTCCACTACTTTCGACTTTGCACATGATGTTGTTGCGGGAGCCCCCTCGCTGCTTCACTTGTGTAGGATGCCTGTGCATATGGCATGCCAGATATGCACCAGTTGCCAACATCCTTCGAAGGAGTTGATCCTTTTCGACGAGTGTCCCTTGCCCACATGGTCCAAGTTATGCCAGCCGGGCTTTGGTTCTTCCTCGGGGTAGAGGAGCTCTTTTGGTTCGGAAAGTTTGCGAAGGACATGCACCACAGCACTTAGCCTGCAGGGTGGGGCCTGTCCCGTAGCCCTCGTCTCTCATAGAACATTCGGCCATTCCTGAGTCACCGAGGCATGCCGCGGGCGATGACGTGGTCCTATGTCATGTTGTTTGTCCTTTCCTGTTTAGCACTGCTCGTGGGCGCCACAAGCTCTCAAGGCGGGCAAAGGAGCGGACAAGAACGCATTTTTGTCGAACCTTGTGGAGCTTGCAAGTTGCCTGGCTTTCTTGTGTGGGTGCAAAGGCTCGCACAGCATGATGGAGCACAAGTTTCCGCTGCTGGACGCGTATGTGACAGCACTTGGTGAGAGCGATGCGGTCCGCTACCTTTGCGTTTGTCTGGTACTTGGTTTTGTGGAGTCTTGCCTGCAGCGTGATTTAGAGGGGCCGAGAACGTGCTGAGCCGAGTTCAGTTTTGTTTGCGCAGGCCTCCCTACATACTTTCACCTTCGTTGCGGGACAGCTCATGACGCAAATGGCAGAAGACAACCAGCTCCCTGCTTGCCTGGCATACCGCAGCAAGGTGACAGGCCAGCATGATGGGGTGCAGACATGGAAAGCCTAGACAGACTGCCTGCGGAGTTGCGGACAGGTGCCCCTACAATTTCCGCGCTGATTGCAACGCTTCTGGCGCTGGTACTGGCGGAGGTGATCTTCCAAGCAGAGGAGTACAACTACGAGCCTGGCTGCAAGTTAGTGTTTCTGGCGTTGCAAAAAGGCTTAGGCCAGAAAGGCCAGAAAGGCCAGAAAGGCCAGACAGCCCAGGAAGCACTCCGTGGGACCTTCATTTCGGCCGCAACTTTGTGTGCGGTCTTTGTCTACATCATTGAGCTGGTCTGCTTTTTCTTGCTTCGCCGTGGCAGCACCGGCAACGAGGCCAGTGCCAGGGGGCGTTTTTTTCCTCTGGTTTTGCCAGCATTTCGCCAATGCTTTCCCAGGAGAAGGTGTTTACCTCACCATTCGGAGTGCCTGGCGCAGTGATCGCCCTTGGCCTTTCCTTGGTCTTCTTCACCTGTACTGTGGTGTCGCCGTTCGTTTTCTCTATGAGGGTCAGCCCCGCGGCAGAAATATGGATGGGTGAGATTTGGGCGATTTGGGCATGGAAAAGCAGGCCTTGCAGAGAATTGAGGCGGAATGCTGATCTCTCTTTCCGGGCTTCTCTTGGCCGGGCTATTTGATGCCGTCACGCGGTGCCGCAAGAGGATCGTCCGCAGCCTGGCTGGTTTCCTCGATGTGTCTTGAGGCTGTGAGGCTTTGAGGCGAAAATACTTAGCGTTGCTTTCGAGGGCTGGCTGGCCTAGAGCCTTACCGGGCTTGTGTGTGCTCGCCACTACGGTCGGGTGAAAATCAGAAATTGGATTCCGATAAGAAGGGGTAACATTGCCTTGCGGCATGGGTTGAGGCGCCGCAGACGTAGCAGCGCCCAAGATGTCGCGACGGCCAGAAAGTTAGTTAGCTGACGAATGAATCGCATGCTCCAATTTTACAGCCGGAGCTCTCTTGAAAGATTTTGAGCAGAGCTGCCACAAGTGAGGCTGAATCTCAATTCGGGCTGCAATCGTTGCACATGTAAAGTCCTAGCCTGGACTTCAAAGCAGGCCACAGGAACAAAAAACAAAGACGTCATTGAGTTGATAGCAAGCCGTAAGCAGGAAACACGCGGAGTGGACCAGTCAAGATTCGCCGAGAAGCTCTGAATCCTCAGGTTGCTCCAGAATTCAGCAAACATAAACCATCGAGACTGCCATGGCAAGGCAGGGCAACTACGCACTTCCGAGCCGGAAGAGCGATGTTTGATGCCGGCTTGAGGTGGCCTTGCATCATGCTGCTGAGGAAGGCCCGTGTTGGCCCTTTTGCGATCAGGAGGCTCGTCATTTGAGAATGGCTGACTGAAAGACAGGTCAGCTCACTGCGGTCCGGCTCTTGCTGAAAAACAAGATCGATGCCAATGCCCAGGTGCATGGATCCATTTGCATGCTCAGATGTGCGTGATGGTTCGTGTCCCTGGCAGTGTTGCCTCAGATTTTGCACTCTTTGACAGATGGCAAGAGAAACGCATTGCTTGAATGCTGTGCAGGACAAGGAGAAGCAGACGGCCTTGCAGATGGCTTCCAGTGAGGCAGTCAGTGGCCCTGGTGCACCCTCGCAGACGTCATGTGTCTTGGGCTCTTGCCGGGCCATGCTCCCTTGCCGAGATCAAACTTGTTCGCTCACGCGCCACGGCTTTGTGCAGTTTTTGGGCTCCGGGCACAGGGCCTGCTAAGAGTGGAAGCCTGTGTCCGCAAGTGGATGTGAGATCTGACAGGCCTGGTCCAACTTTGCATGGAATGCACTGCAACAGCATGCAGTTGCTGCCTGTTTGTGATGAAGATGCCGTTCAACTTGTTGAGAGGCCTATCCTTTCAGAACAAACCCTTGAGCTTTGTTTTGCTTGTTGGGTTGCTTTGTCAGGAATTGAAACCAGACGAGTCACATGTTCAAAGAGGGCAAGATATGTCCCTGCCAGAGTGTGTGGCTCAGGGCGAGGTAGGGTGGGAGCGCCAGACGTTTTTGTTTTTCACTTTCCCATGGGCAGCAACAGTTGGTCCGTGCCCACGTCGCATTGAGCGCGGAGGTTTCGACATGATCCGCTTGTCGCCACCTTTGCTGGCCCACACTGGAATTTGACCATGTGCGATGGGGGTGATTATGCAGGCGCTTCAGGAGCCACGCTGTCACAGAGCAGGAACGTTATATCTGCGGTATCTCACGAGGCCTGTCGAGAGCTCTCGAAGCCTCCTGCAATGCCGTGGGACAGGAACGATGTCCTCAATCCGTCAAAGCGTTTGAAGTTGCAATTTTCCGTCACTGAGCTTGTCCAAAGTGGGGCTGAAAGAATTCTTGGCGGGGCCGTCTGGCACGAGTCCACCTGCGGCCCCGGACCAGGTGGCTTCCTTTCCAATGACCAGGATTCGTGCCAGAGTAATGGCCAGCATCGAGCATCAGGATGACCTGCGCTTCAATTTTCTCAGATGAGGCTCATGTTGGAGGTCGACATGGAAGCCACTGAGTTGGGCAAGCTTGTCCTATCTGAAGGCGCAAGTGAGAGACTGCAGGCTTTTGGCAAGACCATCAGAGACACCTTTGCGGCCAAAGCTACTGCCACCATTTACAAAAGAACCAGATGCTACTGGAGATTTTTCACTTGGTGCAGGGCAGTGCAAGCGGGCAATGGGCTGAGGCTTTCCGAGAAGGTCGTCTACAAGTACTTGTCGTACTTGCAGGAGGAGGGCGCAGGCGCCACGAGTGGCGATGCCTTTTTACAATCCTTCAGGTTTTTCCACGCCAGCTGGCAGTTCGTTGGGTTGAACCTGGATCAGGAACTGTCAGCAAGAGTGAAGGGAGTGGCACATGTGCTTTACTGCAAAAAGCCTTTGCTGAAACAGGCAAGGGCTCTCTCGGTTGCTGAACTTGCAGCGCTAGAGGATATTGTTCTGGGCGCAGAGGCCAGCCACGTTGGGGTTATTGCGGGATACCTCTTGTTTTGCGCCATGTCGTGTTGCCGTTTTTCTGACGCACTCTTCGCGATTGACTTCGTAGTGTCTTCGCACGGGAGCACAGTTCTTATCGAGGCCGGAACCAAGGTGCACAAAACTGCCTCCAGTAAGGAGAAGAAGACTGTCCTTCTCCCTCTTGTGGCTCTCGGGAAGGTGTTCCGCAGTGACTCCTGGGCCAAAAAATGGTTCAGCCTCAGACAAGCCTGCGTGCCTAAGAACATCCGCTTTGTCCTGCCGGCTTACTCTGAGCAGTCAGGGAGGTGGCTCAACAGGGCAATGACGACAGCTGAAGGCATTTTATGGATGCAGGACATCATGAGCTGGAAGTGCACCACCTTCCATGGACATGCAACAAAGGAGGATCTTGGGTCATCACGTGGACCCAGGAAGTTCTTCGCCGCTTACATATGGGCGGGACAATGTGGCTGCCATAAGGTGCAGGTAGCGGCCATGCTTCAACGCATCAAAGCCGGCAGATTTGACCCGGATGAAGCTCGAGTGGCCTTTGTGGATAGACAGATAGCATCCTTCTGCGCAGAAATCGACAAATCCGACGAGCATCTGCACTACGGTGATTTGGATGCAGTCGATGCCTCGGACGTGGAAGATGCAGACGAAGCTGAGGCTGAAGCTCATGAATCTAAGGCAGCGCTGAGAATTTTCTTGCCAGAGGCCACTTCCGATAGCCGCATCATGCAGCACTTGGTGTCCGGCACTTTGCGTGTGATAGGCTTAGAAGACCGTCATGTGTGGCAAATTCATTTCCGTGGGCTACCAGTTCCCGCCAGGCGATCTTGTCAGGGAGTGGCCCTTGTGCCAGCAGTGCAGAAATGCACAGGGAGGCCGCAAATGGTGTGCGCTAATTCCGCCTGGCGCTGAAGACGAATTACGGCGCCACATTGCAGGCGCTGACGCCGCATTGCGGCGCCACATTGTCTGGCGCTGAATTGGGGCCTGGCGCTGACCTAGCGCTTGACGCCGCATTGTGGCGCCGCATTGTCTGGCGCTGAATTGGGGCCTGGCGCTGCATTAGCGCTTGACGCCGCATTGTGGCGCCACATTGTCTGGCGCTGAATTGGGGCCTGGCGCTGAATTAGCCTCTGACGCCGCATTGTGGCGCCACATTGTCTGGCGCTGAGTTGGGGCCTGGCGCTGAATAGCCTTTGACGCCGCATTGTGGCGCCACATTGGCGCTGGTCGATATGCAAACATTACGGACTTTTGCGAATTCAAATGTGCGCACGCGTCGCCCAATGCGGGGATCGGCGTGGACGAGGTGCGCAAACTGGTGACCTTGTTTGCGACTGTTGATTTGCGCGCGTCACCCTCTGCGGGAATCGGCGTGGTAGATGCGCCAAAAAAAAACTGAAGCTTTTTGCGGTTTCTGCGTTTCCCGCGCGACCGTATGCGGGAACCGGCGTGGTCAGGATGCAAACACCGAGGCCTTTCTGCGATTCTGTGGCGCGCGAATGAACCCTCTGCGAATATCGGCATGGGCCATGTGCAAAAACGGAAAGCGTTCTGCGACTTCGATATTCCCGGACCATTCCTCTGCCGGGATCGGCGTGGTCGATGTGCAAAAATAAAGAACTTAGCCTTTGGAAGTTGTGCTTTCTCGGTCGACGGGGTGCAGGCTCGATTCCTGCTTTGTCCGCGGGCTTATGGTGGTTGCGTGGGTAGAGGTTTTCCCGTGCAGCACGCCAAAGAGGTCCACCAACGCCAGCACACGCGCACACGCAATTGTGAGATAAATGAAACTGGCAACGCAGGTACACTGGGCTGATCAGACCCAGCATCCTGAGGACACCATAGAAAGCTTCATTGGGCAGAGCTCTATGGGCTTCCTGTGCCTGCCTGCCGTGCCAAAATTGCATTTTATGGAGCATGCCCTTTGCAATTGGAGTGGCTAAACACACATTCTCCACACTGAGCGAGCCAAATCAAACTCGTGAGCAAGGGCGCTGGCAACATCCCCAGCTAATCGTTCCACATCTTATACACTTGTTACATAAGACTCCGATAAATTCGGCGTACTCATGTCTGTGGCATCAGATAGTACAAGGATGGTCTGCGGCGGCCGCGGGGGCAGCCCTCACCTCTCATGCGCTGCCCCCCGCCCCCTCTCAGTCAGGCACCAGCCCCACCTGCTGAGCTGCACTCGCTCTCAGTTTGCGGCGGCCGCGGGGGCAGCCCTCATCTCTCATGCGCTGCGCTCCCCGCTCCCTTTCAATCAGGCCCCAACCCCAAGCAACACGCAATGGAAAGACATGGACAACTGCAATCCAACCGCAATGAATCGATACTTAATCGATTCATGATCAATCTGCTATCGCTCACTTTGTCGTGTTTCAATGGATTATGTGACGGTCAGTGGCATGCACGGGACTTTGGCGACAACCTCAGCAATCGCTCAGGTGCAACAAGGATTATTTCCCGTCGGCCCACTTAAGGGCTGACCCGCGGAGCACTCATCTTAGCGGGCAGTCTTTGAATATGCGCAGAATTTGTCACTGAGTCTGAGTCATAGCGATGTGTGGCCGGGTAACCCAAATGCAACCCGAGGGCTTGCGCAGGATGTCTGGAAGCCTGGATACAGGGAAACATTGTGAGGCATCATTGGCAAGCTCACGACTCCAGAAACGTTGCCACCATCTTCTGCACCAGTTGCGTCAGCATCCTCAGCCGCTTTCGCCCTGACAGCTTTGGCAAAGACCAGGCCCTTCACGTGATCCCACAGCTCCCACGGCACGCTTTGCGCGCGTCTGTAGTAGGGGAGGCTTCTGGTACGATCCTGTCTCTCCGCGTCACGAAGCTCACAAAGGCTGCGCATGCTTGCATTCTGGAAGATTTCCGTGAAGTCCAAGTCTTCGTCCTCTGAGTCAGATTCCGGCACTGTGGCTCTCCAAGCCTTACCATTTTCCCATGCCCACGCAGTCATGTCGGCTTCCGTCCACTTTGCGTCTATGTCGACCTCTTCGTAGATGTAGCCTGTCTTTGAACGGGCATGCCACAAATGCCATTGAAGGTTGCTGAGGAAATCTTGTCTGTCGACTTTCTCGTGCAGCAGGAT